TATATATGCAGCTGAGAGACAGTGAGCTGATAACTGACACATCTCATACTTCACAAGCTCTGGCCACACTTGTTTGAACAACTAGGCATAGTCCCAGCTTGGGTCCTTTGCATTAACTTTTCCTTCTGCCTGGAATGCTTTTCCCTTGGGTATGCCCTCCTTTAAATCTTTGCTCAAATGTCACTCTCAGTATTTTAGTATTGTTTTTTTTTTTATCCTCACCCGAGGACATTTTTCCATTTTTTGTTCAGGTAGAGTGGGAGGGAGAGAGAGGAACAGAGAGAGAGAGAGAAACATCGATGTGAAAGGAACACATCGAGTGGCTGCCACCCGCACAACCAACCAGGGCCGGGGACAAAGTGCAACCGAGGTACGTGCCCTTAGCGGGAACCAAACCCGGGTCTCTCAGGACCGCAGGCCGACGCTCTAACCGCTGAACCAAACCGGCCAGGGCAGTATTTTAGTATTGTACCATACCTCATTCCTGATCCTTCTTTCACTGTTCCCCCCCCCTTTTTCTTTAAAACTTTGTATTTATTAATTAGAGAGAGGGATTTGTTCCACTTATTTATGCATTCATTGGTTGATTCTTGTCTGTGCCCTGACCAGGGATTGAACCCACAATGTTGGCATATCGGGATGATGCTCTAATCAACTGTGTTACCTGGCCAGAGCCTTATTTTTTTTCCTTTTTCAATATGGCTTATCATAGTCTATTGTATGTTTATTGTCTGTTTTTCCATGCCAAAATGTAAGCTCCAAAAGGGCAAGAGTCTTTGTTTCTCAATATATTTCAAGAATATAGAATAGCCCTCGCCGGTTTGACTCAGTGGTTAGAGCATTGGCCTGCGGTCCAGAGAGACCCGGGATCGGTTCCCGCTAAGGACACGTACCTCGGTTGCAGTTTGTCCCTGGCCCTGGTTGGGTCGTGTGGGTGACAACCACTCGATGTGTCTCTTTCATGTCGATGCTTCTCTCGCTCTCTCTTTCTCTCCTACTCTATCTGAATAAAATGTGGAAAAATGTCCTCGAGTGAGGATAAAAAAAAAAAAAAGAATATAGAATAGAAGACACTCAAATATTTGTTGAGTGACTAAGTGAATTACTGAGACAGACATGAAACATAAAAGATAAGATGTGAAATCAAGGGAAAATATATACCTATAAGTGAATCCCGTGTGTGTTTTTTCTGCTAAAGACCAAGATTCATGTCAAGACTTGACTAAAAAGTCATTTCTCTGTGATCTGGACACTGGTTGCTGCAGCAAGATTGAGCAAGGAACAACTTTTCTTCCTTTGACAGGTCAGCAGCAGAAGGATTTAATTCTGGTCTGGATTGTTGCTTGCATGTTTTTGATTAAGAAAATACCAGTGGACTTTTGAAGACTTTGGAAGACTGCATGAAGCTGTCTGTGGAGTCATTTCCTGGATTCCATGACAAGCAACTGGAGCCCTTGGAGAAGAAAAATAGAACCATGGAGCAGAGGTCTTCAGAATGGAGCAGGCACATCCCTGGGCATCCTGGAAGACCACCCATGTACACTTGCAGTTTTAAGGAAATGTATTTCCAAATTTCAGCTTCCAGTTTACTCTTCCCTGAAATTGGTCAGCTTGCAAACAAGCCTAATTATACAACAGTCCTTCCATTTTACAATGAAAAAATATATACACCTCTCACATCACAATTCACACCAGGGCTCACTGCCCTGGGGCGTAAGAAAATCTCTTTGTACCAAAGAGAAGTATATATCAAAGTCCAGGATTCAGGAAACACTTTAAAAAATTAATCCAGCCCTGGCCGGTTTGGCTCAGCAGTTAGAGCCTTGGCCTGCGGTCTGGAGAGACCCGGGTTCAGTTCCTGCTAAGGGCATGTACTTCGGTTACAGTTTGTCCCCGGCCCTGGTTGGGTTGTGCAGGTGGCAGCCACTCGATGTGTACCCTTCACATCGATGTTTCTCTCTCTCTCTCTCTCTCTCCCTCCCCTCCTCCCTCCCCCCTGCTCTATCTGAACAAAAAATGAAAAAATGTCTTCCGGTGAGGATAAAAAATTTTTAATCCATTGGCAGATGAATAAATAAAAAAAATGTGGTATATACACAGAATAGAATAATTCAGCCTTAAAAAGGAAGGCAGACATATGCAACAACATGGATGAACCTTGAGGATATTATCTCAAGTGAAATAAGCCAGTTATTAAACCACCAAGACTGGGTGGCTCACTTCCTGAGGTGCCCAGAGTAGTCAAATTCAGAGATAGAAAGTAGAAGGTGATTGCCAGGGGCTGGAGAGAGGGGAGACTGGGGTGTTCCTGTTTAATGGGTACAGAGTTTCGGTTTTCCAAGATCAAGAGTTCTGGAGATGGATGGTGGTGATGGTTGCATAACAATGTTAATGTATTTAATGTCACTGAACTGTATACTTAAAAATACTACGGTTAGTATGATTTTAAAAAAAGTAATCAAGGCATTCTAAACCCAAGGGGTTCCTGTCTCATATGTATTTCTGTAAAGGGCTTGGCTTTAGAAATGGATTTTTGAAAGCCTGTATTGTGATACTCTGGAATCTGAACAGCCATGCATTATTTAAAATGTATAATTCTTTGATGGATTTTTGAGAGCCAATGGATAAAACTCACGAATAAGAACTTCACGTAATTTCTTTAAGATTGTATGTGCTGTCCTGCCGGTGTGGATCAGTGGTTGAGCGTCGACCCATGCACCAAACGTCGCCAGTTTGATTGCTGGTCAGGGCACATGCCCAGGTCGTGGACCAAATCCCCAGTGAAGGACATGCAGTAGGCGGCCAATCGATGTTTTCTCTCATTGATGTTTTCATCTCTCTCTCCATCTCCCTTCCTCTCTCTCTAAAATCAATAAAATAAAATAAAATAAAATGCTCTTTGGATATCAGTGGGTAGAAAATTAAAAAAAAAAAAAGATTGTGTGTGCTTTCAAAAAGTCACATAGGGCCCTGGCCGGTTTGGCTCAGCGGTTAGAGCATCAGCCTGCGGTCCCGAGAGACCTGGGTTCGGTTCCCACTAAGGGCATGTACCTTGGTTGCAGTTTGTCCCTGGCCCTGGTCGGTCGTGCGGGTGGCAGCCACTCGATGTGTCCCTTTCACATCGATGTTTCTCTCTCTCTCTCTCTCTCTCTCTCTTCCTCTCTCTCCCTCCCACTCTACCTGAACAAAAAATGTCCTTGGGTGAGGATAAAAAAAAAAAAAAAAAAAAAAAGTCACATAGGCCCTCTGCTCCTCCTGTTCATCAGACAGCCACGTCTTCCTGTGCAGGGCCAGCTGCAACCCTGAGATATGATGAAGGTCAGGGTGAACACATTTGTCTGTATTGGGTGCCTGGTCACCAGGGATGCCTGGCAAAGTGGATATTGCTGCCATCAATAACCCCTTCATTGACTTCAGCTATATGGTCTACATGTTCCAGTAGGATTCTACTCATGGCAAGTTCAAAGGCATCGTCAAGGCCAAGAACATTTCCATCTTCCAGGAGCGAGACCCCCGCCAACATCAAAAGAGGTGATGCTGGTACTGAGTATGTTGTGGAGTCCACTGGTGTGTTTACTACCTTGGAGAACGCTGGGGCTCACTTGAAGGATGGAGCTAAGAAGGTCCTCATCTCTGCTGCTCCTGCAGATTCCCCCATTTTGTGATGGGTGTGAACCATGACAATATGACAACTCCCTCAAGATTGTCAGCGATGCCTCCTGTACCACCAACTGCTTGGCCCCCCTGGCCAAGGACTTCCATGACAACTGTGGCATTGTGGAGGGACTGATGACCACAGTCCATGCCATCACTGCCACCCAGAAGACCATGATGACCCCTCTGGGATACTGTAGCTTGATGGCCGAGGGGCTGCTCAGAACATCATCCCTGCTTCTGCTGGTGCTGTCAAGGCTGTGGACAAGGTCATTCGTAAGGTGAATGGAAAGCTCAGTGGCATGGCTTCCCGTGTCTCCATTCCCAATGTGTCAGTTGTGGATCTGACCTGCCACCTGGAGAAAGCTGCCAAATACAGTGACATCAAGAATGTAGTGAAACAGGCATAAGAGGCCCTTTCAATGGAGTCCTAAGCTATACTGAGGACCAGGTTGTCTGCTGTGACTTTAACAGTGACACCCATTCCAGTGTTGGGGTGGCACTGCCCTCAACGACAACTTTTCTGGTATGACACTGAATTTGGCTACAGCAAATAGGGTGTTGGGCCTTATGGTCGACATGGCCTCCAAGGAATAAGACTCCCCTCCACCACCAGCCCCAACAAGAGGAAGAGAGGCCCTCAGCTGCTGGGGAGTCTTGCCCCCAATGGATCCCCCAACACACTGAGGATCTCCTGACCTCCAAGTTTCCATCGCAGACTCCCTGAAGCAGGGGAGGGGCTTAGGGAGCCCTAGCTTGTCAGGCACCAGCAATTAAGTTCACTGTACCCAGCGAGGGAAAGAAAAAGTCAAATAAAATAAAAATTTATTTCAAATACAGTGAATCTTAATCACTCTCAACCTTTGTAAAAGGTGGACATTTTCTATTTCCCATTAAATTAAAAAAAAAAAACTTATTTAATCTTACATTGAAAAAGTTTGTCAACTTCAATGGGCGAGAAAGCCTGTAGTTCTCCAAAACTCTTTTAGGTGGTATTCCAGCAAATGCGTCCGACTGTGGCTATTCCTGAGAGTGTTTCCTGCTTCTCGGGGGTTAGGTCTTGAGTGCTTACCAAGCTGGTGGCAGCAATGGCATCAGAGCAGGAGAACATCAGCGCTCTCCTGGACCGTGGGCCGCCCACGCTGTTGCCGCGGGGGCGTGGCTCCCAGCGTGGCCGCCCAGCGTGGGTTCACACTGCGTGCGCGGTTCACGGTTGGGTTCACAGCCTTCCCGCCAGACTTAAAGTTTTAAGTTTCAGTTCCGGAGGCTGGCTGTAAGGGCTGGTTCCTCTACCGTTCCCTTTTCGCGAAGCTGAGTTAACTTTCGGGTAACGAGGAGCGCCAGCCATGGATCCTCAGCGCAGAAATGCGACGAAGGCAGGTTCGAAGGCGGGAGCCGCCACCGCCCAGGTTTCGGCGCGTGGTGCGAATGGCGCCAAGCGGAAGCCATCTGCAGTGGAAACCACCCGGACGAAGCCCAGCGCCTCGGGCCCCCAGGAGAGACCGCAGGTACGCGCGCGGGGTGCGCGCACCGAGAAGGTGCCTCTGAGCGCTGAGGACCGGCAGGCAGCTTTGGCCGAGGGGCCGGAGCCCCCTGCGTTCCGGGGGCCACCCGTTCCCAGGGCTGGATCTCGCCGGGAGGGGGGCGCACGCGCCAAGAAGGCGCCTCTGTGCTCTGAGGACTCGGAGGACCGGCAGGACCGGCCGGCAGCTTTGGCCGAGAGGCCGGAGCCCCCTGCGTTCCGGGGGCCACCCCTTCCCAGGGCTGGATCTCGCCGGGAGGGGGGCGCACGCGCCAAGAAGGCGCCTCTGAGCGCTGAGGACGCGGAGGACCGGCAGGACCGGCAGGCAGCTTTGGCCGAGGGGCCGGAGCCCCCTGCAGCCAGGAGGCCGACCCTTCCCAAGGCTGGATCTCGCCGCGAGGGGAACGCGCGCTCCGGTGCGCAGCGGAGACCTCTGTCTAGGCCCACAGAGGTCCCCGACCACGTCCTGCTAGTCCCAGCACCTAGTCTCTGCCTGAGACAGCCGGCGCCCGGCGCCTGGAAGCCCCGGGCCGTGCTAGAGAAGTTGAAACTAAGGACCTCGGAAATCTCAAACGCGTCAAAGGCTGTAAACAATGTCGTGGACCACCTGCAACGAAGATTGCAGAGCAGTCAGTCCGAGTTCAAAGGTGTCTCGCTGCTGGGCTCTGGGAGCTACTACGAGCGAGTGAAGGTGAGTTGGGGATCCCCAGCACGCCGCCAGTCTTCCTAACCCCTCTCCCAACTTCCCGGATATTCCCCACCTCCTATTGGACCTGACTTTACTTCATAAAAAACTCAGACTCTATTTCTTTAGTTCTCATTAAAACCACGAACATTTATTCTTTCGTTTATTCATTACTACATCCAACGAACACAGAGCCCACCTACACTGATTGTTAGCCACTGTCAAGACACTGCTATTGGGAGAATTCAAATGTATAAATTAATTCATTTAAGCAGACCTGTATTGTGTTTCTCCAACAGTGCTATGCTTGGTGGTTTCTGGTCAGATTATGACTTGGGTGATTAGGAGTGATCTGTGAAAAAATTAACAAGATTAATATATTTAAGAAACGTTTTCCTATGAGGACATCGCACTCTAAAGGAAAAGTATTTTCAGTCTCTTTCTCCAGCCCTTGCAGATCCACTCTCTCCTCAAATTTTTATTCATTTATTATGGGAAACTCACTGTAAGTGATATTTAAAAAAAACCTTAAGAGACAATTTCCTGCAGGTACTAAAAAGTATACTTCCTAAATAGACAGTTTGTTTCTTTTTCCATTGATTTTTAGATAGAGTGGAAGGGGGGGAGGGAGAGAGAGAGAGAGAGAGAGAGAGAGAGAGACCGATTTGGGGCAGGGGATAGAACCTGCAACCCATGTAGGTGCCCTTGACCAGGTATGGAACCTGGGACCCTTTGGTCCAGGGCCAGTGCTCTTAACTGAGCAAACCAGCCAGACCCAGATGTAACTTTTTAAGTGTGTATTCCACAGCTCCATTTATTCGTGAGTGGTTTTCATTAAAGCCATCATTTCAGTATAAATTGAAGGTTTAGGAGCAGGTTCATGACTGGCGTTTGTTTCCCAACCAGTGGCAGTGGTGAAAGTGGACAGTCTTGTCTTGGTCTTGATCTTACAGAAAATTCTTTTAGCGGTTCCCTGTTGAGTTTGATGTTAGCTGTGGGTCTGTCATATATGGGTTTTTATTATGTTGAGGTATGTTTCCTTTATTCCCACTTTGCTGAGAGCTTTTATCATAAATGGTTGGATTTTGTCAAATGTTCTTCTTCATCTGTTGATGTGATCATATGATTTGTATCCTTCATTTTGTTTATGTCGTATAACAATTTACTTGATTTGTGGATATTAAACTAACCTTGCATCCCAGGAATAAATACCACTTGGATCATGGTGTATTATGTTTTTAATGTATTCCTGAATTTGGTTTGCTAATATCTCGAGGATTTTTTTCATCTGTGTTCATTGGGGACCTTGGCTTATAGTGTTTTGTGTGTGATGTCTTTGGTTTGGGAATGAGGGTAATAGTGACCTCATAAAATGAGCTTGGGAGGCTTCCTTCCTCTTAAATTCTTTTGAATAGTTTAAGAAGGATAGGTGTTCATTCTTTAAATGTTTGGTCAAATTCACCTGTGAGGCCGTCAGTCCAGGACTTTTGTTTGCTGGGAGTTTTTTGATTACTGATCTGACTTGGTTTGTAGTAATTGGTTTGTTCAAATATTCTGTTTCTTCTGAATTTAGTTTTGGACGATTGTGGGTTTCTAGGTATTTATTCATGTCTTTGAAATTTTTCAATTTGTTGCATATAATTGTTCATAGTATTTTCCTATAGTCCTTTGCCTCTCTGTGGTGTGAGTTGTCACTTCTCTTTTGTTTCTGATTTTTTTTTACATGGGTCCTTTTACTTTTTTTCTTAATGAGTTTGGTTAAAGGTTTATCAATCTTATCTTTTTTTTCTTTTCCCTGTTCTGATTGTTTTCTGCTACCTTGTCTTCCAAATGGCTGATTGAGTCTTTTGCTTTATCTAATCTGATATTGATTCCTTCTAGTGTATTCTTTATTTCAGTTATTGTACTCTTAATTTCTGACTGTTTTTTAATGACTTCTATGTCCTTTTTTGTGCTTACTATATCTTTGCTGAAGTTCTCACTAAGTTCCTTGAGTATCACTTTATAACCAGTGTTTTGAACTCTGTATCTGTTAGATTGCTTGCCTCCATTTTGTTTAGTTCTTTTTCTGGAGAATTCTCTTGTTCTTTCATTGGGGACATGCTTCTTTGTCCCCTCATTTTGGCTGCCTCTCTGTGTTTGTTTCTATGTACTAGGTAGATCTGCTATGTCTCTCAGTCTTGGCTTGGTGGCCTTAGAAGGTGCCCTTTAGGGCCCAGTGGCACAGTCTTCTTGGTCAGCTGAGTGGGGTGCTCCAGGAGTGTCTCTTTTGTAAATTGTGTGTGTCCTCCTGTTAATTGAGCCTTAATTGCTATTGACAAATCAGCAGGTGGGATTGATGGTCAGACTGACTGGCTGTGAGGATTGGCCATGACCTCAGTGTATGAGCTTCTCTGGAGAGGCTGATCCTATAGTATTCGGTGCCTACTGAGACTACCCTTGGGGTGTGTTGCTTGTGGAGCTAATCAGGTGGTGCTGTGTTGTGGTCTGAAACTGGTCACCAGTTTTGTTGGTTCTGGGTCTTTTGGGGCAGGGGGGCTCTGACACAGGCCAATGTCAGACACTGTCTATACTTGGTCTGCATGTGTGTGGGAGAGGCCACACTGTGAACCGAGGCTGTCTGCCACAAGTACTGAGCCTGGGGAAGGTCACCAAGAGGCACCTCGAGTACTGCCACTGCCTGTCAGCTACTGGTAAGGCTCAGTAGCTGAAAAAGCCTTGGGCAGCACGCAACTTGGATGTCAGAGTGTCACCAGTCTGGGGGTAGTGGTGATCACCAGGTTAATTCAGATTCAGATTTGGCACCAGTGCTGAGCCTGAGGCATTTCAGCATACATCTCAGTATACACCGAGGCCAGCCGCCACCTGCTTGGGCCTGTGGACCCTTGCTATGGGGCATGATCTCAGGGAGTCATCAGGGTGGTGTTGGTGAAGTTCACTAGGATAATGCAGATTCAGATTTGGCTGTGTGGGGAGAGGGCCCAACACAGGAAACATTGCACCTGCTGTCTGTTCAGAAGGAGGGCTCAACATAGGGACCACAGCAGTCATCCCTGCCGTCCATCCAGCCCTTGCCCTGAAGCCACACACTCAATTTCCCCCTGTGTGTTTCTGGTGACCTCTGAGCTGCTGTTCCTCTGCTGGAGCCCCAGTGAGTGCCTGCGAGTGAGAGCCTGTGTGCCAGCTCTTTAAAGGGATGCCTGGGTTTCCAGCAGCGTTTTGTCTCACCTACATGGATGAATCCCCAGTGATTTTCACAGGCAGATATTATGTGGGCTCCTCTTTCTAGCACTGGTGTTCTCAGCGTGGGTCCAAGACCCTTTGGTCCTCAGTAGGGATCTCTGTAGCTGAGATATCTTTCTGGTTCCTCAATTGCAACCTATAGGTTAGGCCAGCCCATTTCACATCTCTTCCCCTCCTACCAGTCTCAACATGGCTTCTTCTTTATATCCTTAGTTACAGGACTTCTGTTCAGCTAGTTATCAGATAGTTCTCCAGGTTGATTGTTTTGTAATTTAGTTGTAATTTTGATGTGGTCATAGGAGGAGGCAAGTACAGTCTCCATCTACTCTGCAATCTTAACCAGAACCTTTCAGCCATTTTTCTTGAATAATCTTCCTTGGATTGTTGCAAGTGTTTGGTTAATTTGTAGAGTCTTCAAAGAATTGCATGGGGAAAATGCAGTCTTTCTCTCTTCCTCTTCTTATAAAGTCACCAATCCTATCAGATTATAAACCCACCCTCATGATCTGATTTAATCCTAATTACCTCCTGAAAGTTCTGTCTCCAAGTACAGACACATTGGGAGTTAGGGCTTCAATATCTGAATTTTGGGAGGATGGTTAAGTACACAGCACAGCACATCTCAATTTGGACTAGCCACATTTCATGTGGTCAGTAGACATAGCTATTAGGTATCATGTTGAACAGTGCAGTCCAATAGCTGTACTTGCAACATACCCTAACTAGTAAAAGCAAGCATTTATTATAATTGCTTTAATTATTATTATTATTGTGAGAATGGAAAAGATTCTTTGAAGCTTCTACAAATGCTATGGTTCTAAGACACTAATTTGTATATGACTTGGAGCTCATACTCACTTGGGTGACCAGCAGGTATAAGAAGATAGCCCCTTGCCCTGGCTGGTTTTGCTCAGCGGTTAGAGCATCGGCCTGCGGTCCTGAGAGACCTGGGTTCGGTTCCCGCTAAGGGTATGTACCTCGGCTGCAGTTTGTCCCCGGCCCTGGATGGGTTGTGCGTGTGGCGACCACTCGATGTGTCCCTTTCACGTCAATGTTTCTTTCGCTCTTCCTCTTTCTCCCTTTCACTCTGTCTAAACAAAAAAATGGAAAAATGTCCTCAAGTGAGGATAAAAAAAAAAAAAGATGGCTCTTGCTCATCTAGCCAATAGGTGAATACACACATTTTTGAGACCATTGTGACAGGTGGCTGCAGTGCATATTTTGTGATGTAAAGGATGGCACATTTCAAGGTCTTTAATTTTATTAAGCTTTAACCTCAAAATAAAACTGCCCGGCCCATGTGGCTCAGTGGATTGAACATTGTCCCATGCACTGAGAGGTCTCTGGATTGATTTCCAGTCAGGGTACATGCCCAGATTGTGGGCCCAATCCCCAGTAGGGGGTGTGCAGGAGACGGCCAGTTGATGTTCTCTCTCATAGATGTTTCTATCTCTCTCTCCCTCTCCCTTTCTTTCTCTAAAAATCAATAAAGACTAAAAATTTAAAAATAGCCCTGGCCGGTTTGCCTCAGCGGTTAGAGCATTGGCCCACGGACCAGAGAGTCACGGGTTCGATTCTGGTCAAGGGCACGTACCTCGGTTGCAGTTGGTCCCCAGCCCCAATCAGGGTTGTTTGGGAGGCAACCAGTCGATGTTTCTCTCTGTCTCTCTCTCTCTCCCACTTTTTTTTTCTTTATCCTCACCTGAGGACATTTTTCCTTTTTTTTTTTCAGATAGAGTGTGTGTGTGTGGGGAGAGAGAGAGAGAGAGAGAGAGAGAGAGAGAGAGAGAGAGAAAGAGAAACATTGATGTGAAAGGGACACATCGAGTGGTTGCCACCTGCACGACCAAACCAGGGCCGAGGACAAACTGCAACCCAGGTATGTGCCCTTAGTGGGAACCGAACCTGGGTCTCTTCTCCCACTTTTTCTGATGATAAATAGAAAAGCATCTCGGGTGAGAAATAAAATAGTAAAAAATAAAATAAAGTTGCTTTAAATTATAAAAATCATATGTATTCATGTTAAAAAGAATGAGTATAGAACCTATAAACTAAAGCCAATAAATACTCTCCCAGCTTCACTAGTCCCACTACCAGAGGGTATAAATATTAGAAGTCTTGCTTTTAAAAAGAGGGTTTTAAGAGGAAATTTTAAGAAAAAAATTGCAGTGGCTTGGAAAATATTCACAAGCAAACATTTAGTGCTGTTTTTGCATTTTCTTAGGTTTCTGCTCCTAATGAATTTGATGTTATGTTCCAACTGGACACCCCCAGAATTCAGCTAGAAGAATATCACAACAGTGGTGCTCATTACTTTGTGAAGTTCAAAAGAAATCCCAGAGGACACCCTCTGAATGAGTTTTTAGAAGACGGAGTATTATCAGCTTCTAAGATGCTGTCCAAGTTTAGAAAAATCATTAAGGAAGAAGTTAAAAACATTGCAGGTAAGATTTTTACTTTTATTCTTAAAGGTGTAATTGTGCCTACTAATTGCCAGTGTATACTCCTCTCCTGATCGTTCTTGACCTCCCTGCAGCACACTGTTGACTTCTCCCTCCCAGAAACAACTCTTTACTCTTGATATTATTCTACTGTATTTTCCTGGTATTCTTTTAAAATGTTGATTGGCTCTATTTTGGTCTCCTTTGAACTGCTTCCTGTGCCACAGGGCAAATGTGGTTGAATAAAATCACAGGATCCCCTCCTGAAGCTTGAATCTTGTAGACACAAGAGTGCTCTGAAGGGAAAGAACTGGGAGAAGTAGTAGCAGTTGGAGTGATGGAGCAAGGCCTGAGGCAGAAAAGAGCTGGGCAGGCTCAAGGAGCTAAACGAGGCCCATGTGCACAAGGGGAAGAGTCACATGAAATGCAGTAGAAGAGGTGTTCAGGGACTAGATTCTTCAGAGACTTGCAGATCCTGAAAAAGGGTTCAGATTTTATTTTATGTTCATTAAGAAGCCAAGTTTTAATTACAAAATAATGATTGGCTTTGTATTTCTAACAGTTTACTCTGGCTTCTATGGAGAAGATATTATAAGAAGGCAAATAAAGAGATTAGAAAGGAAAATATTTTAATAGTTTAATTGAAAAGACGGGGATGTGGTGGAATGATAGGATGGACAGAAACAGACACGCCCAACCTGTAGCAGTGCTGACTTTGGATTAAGTGTAGGGATGAAAGAGAGGATGGAATTGGAGAAGGCTCCCAGGTTTCTGGATTGAGCACCTGTATAGATTGATTATGCCATTGACTTAGAATGGAAGGACGGAGAAGGGACACATTTGGGGGAATGAAGGGTTTGGCTTTGGTTATGTTAAGTTAGAGATTCCTATGCTGTGTTAAAGGGAATGTGTCAAGTAGGTAGTTAGAGATGGGTTTGGAGTTCAGAGGATACCTTTGGGCTGCATGTCAGCATATAAGTGGCCCTTTAGAGAGCATAGATTAATTTATCCGTTAATATAATTAATATTCCTTGATTATCCATTAATATAATTAATATTCCTAGATGTTTTGGATATGTTAATGAACAAATAAATGAAGATCCTCACCCTCTGTACCTTATAATTATGTAAGGTCAGACAGGCAATTAATAACAAATGGAAAACATAATTATCTAATAGTATACCAGAAATGAGTAAGTCCTATGGGGAAAAAGTATAGCAAAGTGAGAGGGATCAGGAGTGTTGGGGATAGGACGGGAGGAAATAGTAATATTAAGTAGAGGGTAAGAAGAGGATCCCATTAGAAGTTGAGGAGAAGAGAAAGAGCACAAGGAGACTGAGTGTTCACAGGAGCAGTGGTCAGTGTTTAGAATGCTAATGACATCCAGAAAACCATCGTATTTGGTCTTTGATTTTGGGAAAATTATTGGTAACTTGGACTTGGCAGCTACAGGTGAGTCAGGATCATACAAGGGAAAAACAGCAGGGAAGCAGTAAAGATAGCGTGTGTAGGCAGCTCTAAAAAGTTTTGGCTGCAAAGGAAAATGGGTAAGTATGGAGAGGAGGGTGATATAGGGTCAAAAGAGAGGTAAATTTTAAAATAAGAAAAGCTGGAAGCCTTTGTATGCACATCGGAATGATCCAGCAGGGATGGGAATCCACTGATGCAGAAGAGGCAACAACTGGAGAGCAAGGTGCTCGAGATCGTGAGGATCCAGAGGACATCTTCAGGGGTGGCCTTTGAAATGTGAATGGACACCTGCTTGGTGGAAATAGGAGGAAGAGGGATCTAATGAGTAGGACAGGGAGAGACTTGCAGATTGAATGATAAGAAAATGAGAGTGTCTAGCTTATTTTCTCCAGGTTCATCCACATTGGCACAAATAGGATCTTTTTCTTTGTTAAGACTGAATAATATTCCATTGTAAATACAGGCATTGGGAAACCAAAAAATTCACATGACTTGAGTTATTGTAGTATTGAGGTTATTGCAGTGGTCTGGAACTGAACCCACAATATCTCCCCTTTATGACTATACATACCACAGTTTATCCATCCCCCTGTCAGTGGACTCAGGTTGTGTCCATGTATTGACTACTGTGAATAACACCACGACGCACATGGATTGCCCCCGTGTCTTGATGCTCCCTGCCTCTTAGCTTCCACAGGCAGCCACGCTCTTGTGTTGGGCTACTGCTGTGGTCTTCTTTTCTTTTCCTCTCCCCCTGTTGTCCTCTGTGGTCTTGATCACTTGCTCCTGCCTGCCACTCATCTGCCTCTTTTCCAGGCTTCCCTCCAAACTGCCATTCATCAACTTAAACGAAAATGTAATCAAAGCACTCTCACACCCCTAAGTTTTCAGGCGCTCCTCAACATCTACAACATCTATGCTACACAGATTGGTGAAGTGTCTCGGTGCCATGATAGGCATCAGTGAACATTGTCTAAATGAGTAAAACACTTTGCCCTGTGGGGTCAGTTTCAGTTTTGGAACTAATTTTCACCGTAACACTCTCTAGATCTCCAATCATAGTTATATTATTTTTCCTATATTTTCAAGAAAATTAGATTGATAAACCCCGTTTTTTTCTTTTTATGTCTAAACAAATACAGATGTCAGTGTGGAGAAGAAGAAGAAAGGGTGTCCTGCTGTAACACTTCTTATTAGTAAACCTAAAGAAATATCTGTGGATATAATCTTGGCTTTGAAAGTAAAGAGCAGCTGGCCAGCCAGCACCCAGGAAGGCCTGCCCATCAGGAACTGGCTTGGAGCAAAAGTTAGGAAAAATCTAAGACAACAGCCATTTTACCTGGTACCGAAGTTTGCAAAGGAAGGAAATCGTTTTCAAGGTATCTTGAATGTGAAGGTTAATTGAAAGACATGTGAAAGAGCTGTGAATGTTACATACAAGGGCAGTAACAGATCAACTACTGCTGTTGGCATTTCAAGAATCATCAGGCTAAATAGGTTCCAAGAGCGGAGTTTGGTGAGCCGATGGAATTGAAAAGAGCATAGTCGCAGTAATGTCCAATACTCGGCTTTGAAATGTCTACTACCCACACTTGAATGTTCTCTTTTTTGTTTGATTTTAATACAGAAAGGCAGAACTGCCGCAGCGTCAGACTGCTCTGGATCAGGATCCCGAGGCTGCTTCTCTTTCTAGCTGTGTGATCTTGGGCTAGTTACCAAGCCTCTCCAAACAACTCTTTATCCACATTTCCTTAGTTTGTCCTTTTCTGTTACAGGATCCCATGGAGGACACCACCTTACATTTCACCATCATGTCTCTTAAGCTCCTCTTGACTAGAACAGTTTCTCAACCTTTCCTTGTGTTTGATGACCTTGACCGTTTTGAAGACTTCTAGTCAGATACTTTGTAGAATGCCCCTCATTCGGCACGTGCCTGATGTTTTTTATGATTAGACTGGAGTTCTGGGTTTGGGAGAGGAAGATCAGATTGCTAAAATGTCATTTGCATCCATTATATTAAGGATACATGCCATGAACATGACGTAGCACTGCTGATGTTGAACTTGATCACCTGGCTGAGGTAGTGTTTGTCAGATTTCTCCACTAAGTTACTTATTTCCCCCTTTTTCATAGTGTACTGTTTGGAAGGAGGTCACTGTGCACAGCTCACATTTAAGAGGGGGCAGAAACTTTACACAGATTTTGGGGGAATATTTCTGTATGGGAGATTTATCTCTTCTCTCCCATTTATTAATTTACTCAAACATTTATATCAACATGGAGTCATGGATATTTGCTTTCTACTTTAGGTTGTAATCCAGTACCACTTTACTAATCTTATTGCTTAATTTTTTCTGACTTTGGGAGCTCTTTCAGTTGGTTCCCTGTATCCTTTGCACATGCCCCCATAATTATAGGGTTTTTTGTTTGTTTTGTTTTTTTTTTTTTTTTTTTTTTTTTTTTTTTTTTTTTTTTTTTTTTATCCTCACCCGAGGACATTTTTCCATTTTTTGTTCAGGTAGAGTGGGAGGGAGAGAGAGGAACAGAGAGAGAGAGAGAAACATCGATGTGAAAGGGACACATCGAGTGGCTGCCACCCGCACAACCGACCAGGGCCGGGGACAAACTGCAGCCGAGGTACGTGCCCTTAGCGGGAACCGAACCTGGGTCTCTCAGGACCGCAGGCCGACGCTCTAACCGCTGAGCCAAACCGGCCAGGACTGTTTGTTTTGTTTTGAGCACTAACTCAGTTTTTGGCTCTACAAGGTGCTCCAGGTTCATCTTGTATACTTCCTGCATCAGTCCCAGAATCAGCCATTTCTCCAAGGACCCCTGTATCCTTTTATTGGAGAATGCACTAGAAACCACGATCTGGGTGCTATGTGTACACGTGCTCTGATATGAGGGTGTCAACCCTCTGAGCTGGAGGAACGTGGAAATATTTGTGTGTGTACTAACTCCAGAACATACAAGTATCTATAAATATTTTATATGCAATTATTTGTTGTGTATATTAAGTTATACCCAAGTTCATACTATTTTAAATTATAGTCCATTACCACCTGGATCATTTCTTTCTCTCCTGCTGTCTGTAACCTCTCATTCCAACAGTGAAAACCCTGACTCCCACCTCTGCCACCTATCTGCTTAATTGTTCAGTTCCAGTAAACACGTATAGTTCTTTCAAAACTGTAAAGCCATTCCTCCATGGGAAACACTTATCAACTACAGTACAGAGCTAATGGACAGTTCCTTTTGCCGTCAGTCTTACAGACCATTTCCAAAGTAATTTAGGTCAACACCTTTTGCCCAAACCCCTTTGAGGAAGGTTGTTTCCTGCATGTGTAATGCAGTTAGAGTCCCCTTTCTCAGTCTGCATATTTTCTGGGACCCCTTGACCTCCTAAATGATTTTCTAAAGTTTACATATATCAAGGTCCACCCTTTGTGCTATCAAGTTGTACTGGTTTTGACAAATGCGTTGCATCATGTATCTGCCTTTAAATAACAGTTTCCCTGCCCTGAAAGTCCCCTGAGCTTTCCTTCTTCACCTTCCCATTCCAAACTTCTGGCAACCTCTGATCTGTTTATGATCTCTATAGTTTTGCCTCTTTCACAATGGCATAAATGGATGTGATAAACGGATGTATACAGTAACAATGAACAACCTAGCTCAGTACCACTCTTCCATGTAGTCATTGTCCATACATTGTACAGTTATTACTACACTCTTGTTCTGTTCCATTAAAATCTCTGTCTACCCTTGTACTATACTAAATAGTCAAACATAACGTGTCTTTGTATGTCTTGAAATCTGGTAGGGCACGTTCTCCCACTTTGTCCTTCTTCATGAATGTGTGAGATATTCTTGACTCTTGTATTTTCATAACAATTTTAGTATCATCTTGTCAAATTCCACAAGAGCATGTTTTTGGAATTTTGATTGAGAGTACATGGAATCTATAGATAAATTTTGGAAGACTGCATACATTTATAATAGCAACTTTTCCAATTCACAGACAGGTGCATATCTCCATTTATTTAGACTTCCTCTAATACTTCTTAGTGAAGTTTTAGAGTTTTCTCCACAGAAGTGTTGTATATCTTTTGTTAGATTTACTCATAAACAGTTGTAACTTTCTAGTCTGAAAAATTTTAAACCAGTGGAAAAGTAGACAAGAATTTACTGAACTCACATATACCTGTCACCTGACTTCTTTTGCATTTTCTTCATGTACAATAGTATTATCTATCAATAACTTGGTTTCTCTCTATCCAGTGCTGTTCTGTTTCTTGTGCTTGCTAGGAGAGCCAGTGCATGTTGGACAGAAATAGGGATGGCATACATCCTGTCTAACTGACTTCAAGGGAAAAATCTCAACTTTTTGCCATATGTTATCATGTAGCTGCATCCTTTTTAAAATCTATGTTTCATCAGATCAAGTTTCTGTCCAGATTTAAATTGCTGAGAGGGGTTTTAAAAAAAAGATGCATGAGCCCTGGCCAGTTTGGCTCAGTGGTTGGAGCATTGGCCCACAGACCAGAGGATCCGGGCTTTGTTCCCACTAAGGGCACATACCTTGGTTGCAGTTTGTCCCCGGCCCTGGTTGGGGTCATGTGGGTGGCAACCACTCAATGTGTCTCTCTCACATTGATGTTGCTCTCTCTCTCTCTTCCTCCATCTCTCCCTCCTGCTCTATCTGAAGATAAATGCAAAAAAGTCCTCGGGTAAGGATAAAAAAAAAAAATGATGCATGAATGTTAAATGTTATTACCTGCCTATTCTGCTTTTTTGAGATGATCATATGTTTCTCCTCAATTCTGTTAATGTGAGAGATTATATTGATTGGTTTTTAAATTATAAACCAATCCTGCATTCCCAAAATAAAACCAAGTAGGTAATAGGACAGTTAAAGCTTAAAAGAGCTAGCTATGATAAACCTTGGAGAGAAGGGAAGAAATCTATTCTTACGTAATCTCTCCCAAGGAATAGAAATGTTCCCTAATTCATTTTACATGAATACCAAAGTTTGTAAGGGTGGTATAAAATTTTTAAATCAATTTATTCATGCTATTATTGAAACAAAATATTAACAAACTGAATTTAGCAGTATATCGAAGGTAATACATCTTACATGGCTGACTATCGTAAGCACCCCTCCACCCCCATTTTTCCTATCTTAGTCCTCATTTTGCTTGAAATGACATCTTTTAATATGTAATTACATTATTTGTTTGTTCACTTTCTTGGTCTATCTGCCCCTAGAAATTTTCCAGAATGACATTTTAGTGAAGGAAATCACTTAAATATTGTGTTGTTTATATGTGGACGCTTTGGGTAAATTTCTTTTCTATTTTTCTTTGGGAAATTAAGAAAATACATGGCGGCTATCCTTCTCTCACATTGAAAAGAACATTTTGGAAAATCATGGAAAAGCTAAAACGTGCTGTGAATGTGATGGGGTGAAATGTTGCAGGTAACTTCCTTATTTTGTTGAATGGGGGTTCGTCTATGGAATGTTTATTTTTTAATTGACTCCACAACTCAGACCTAAGTATGAGCATTGCTGGGTTGAGTCCTGGGGTCTACACATGGCTGGACTGACCTGGAATATTATCTCCAGGGTGAGCATGAAACCAGGGAAGCCAGATCCAAGGACCCAGGAAAGAGTGTTAGAAGGCAAGGCCAGAGGTTATAGTCCTGAACCTGGATCAGAGGGATAAGAGGGTATAAACACGAGCCACCATTAGCCGTATCAGTTGTCCTGTCTTAGTATTCTGGTTGCTTCAAGGTAATGAATATTAATGTCACATAATGAGAGGGTGCCAGAGGACCACTCTTTTGGATACTGGTGCTTGCTTTGGATGGTTTGGCTGCGTTGAAGGCCAGGAACTGACTGGCTAAATTTGAAACAAAACTAAAAGATGGGTAATTATTATTATTTTTTTTGGTAGCATACCCACCATAGAAAATGAGACTGAAAAGGAATTCTTCATTTGAGTTTCTACAGTTGCCTAGTGTAAGGTTCACAAAAGTTAAAAGCAAAACCAGAATGTCCAGCATGGAGGCCCAGGAGGTTCTTCAAAGCTCCACGTACAGACTTTGAAGCCAGTGTTAAGAAAACATATTTCTGATAAGGCTAAATATTTTTAAAAACAGTACATTTTGTCAACTATGAAATAACTGGATGAATAATGTAATATTTGTAGCCTAACAACACAAAAATCACTGCATGAATAAATAATATGATTATCTGCCAGTTTCATAGTTGAACTAATCCTGATAGAATAAAATATTGAATCTAGGAATGGGGAAGAGGGCAGGAAAAATATGTTTTTGAAACTTCAAATCATATATTTCAAAAAATCAGGTTTTAGAGGGGCTATAATTATATTTATACATCTTTATTTTTTTTGTGTCTATCTGTGTTATAATACCTGTGTTGTGTATTGCATCTTCCTGTAAGACGCCTAAAGCTCGTTGTGGAATGAAGCAAGTTGTAAAGTGAAAATAATGATTTTCTTTTTTATTTAACAGGAAAGATTGTTTAAAACTAATGAAGTATCTTTTAGAGCAATTGAAAGAAAAGTTTGGAAACCCAAAGGAACTGACTAAATTCTTTTCTTACCAATTGAAAACTGCCTTCTTTCACCTGTGTGCTGAGAACCCTGATGACAGCGACTGGCAATCCAAAGAGCTGGAGCTCTGCTTTGACAGATGTGTGCAATACTTTCTTCAGTGCCTCGAGAAAGAGTATCTTGAGCATTTCTTTATTCCTGGAGTCAATTTCTTCTCTCGAGACAAAATTGACAGAATAAGTAAAGAATTCCTGTTGAAAGAAATTGAATATGAAAGAAACAATGGATATCCAATCTTTGGTGAATTTTGAAATTATATATATTTTTATTTATTTTTGTTGTCGATGGCATTATATATGTCCCCCATTTTCCCTCCCTTTGCTCCCCTCTACCCAGTTCCCACCCCACCCCAGGTCTTCACTACACTTCTGTCTCTGTTTATGTGCTATGCATATATGCATATAAGTTCTTTGGTTGCTTTCATTTAATTTTTTTTTTCTTTATTGATTTTAGAGAGAGAGGAAGGGAGAGGAAGAGACTCTTTGGTTACTTTCTTCCCATCCCTCCTTTCGCTCTGAGATCTGTCAGTCTGTTCCATGCCTCCATATATCTGGACCTATTTTTTCATCAGTTTATTTTGTTCATGTAAGTGAGACCACGTGATATTTTTGTTGTTGCTCTTTTTTATTTCTTTTGTTTTTTTTTTATCCTCACCTGAGGACATTTTTGCATTTATCTTCAGAGAGAGCAGGAGGGAGAGAGGGGGGAAGAGAGAGAGAAACATCGATGAGAGAGAGACACATCGAGTAGTTGCAACCCACAAGACCCTAACCAGGGCCGGGGACAAACTGCAACTAAGGACATGCCCTTAGTGGGAACTGAGCCTGGGTCTCTCTGGTCCGCAGGCCGATGCTCTAACCGCTGAGCCAGACCAGCCAGGGCTCATGTGATATTTTTAAAAAGAGTCAAGAATTAGAGTGACTATAATCATTGGAGTGTTTGAAATTTGTCACAGCAATGATGGATGAAAATGAATAAGCAATTATAACATTCTCTTTATCTTAATAAACTCTAATTAGTATAAAAGGATTGATTATTTTGGAAAAGAGATTAGTCAAGGAATACAAATCAAAAGGAGTATTTATAGTCTAAAAGCTTTATCAGGTTGCAATGAAAAGGACAAAATATATAAAGCTATCACCTTAATTCTTCAAGTACTTACTGAACACTGCCATTCACCAAGCACAAATGTTTGAAAGGTTGCAAAAGACAATATTCGAAATCACCATTGCCTTCATAAAACTGGGAGACTTTGTTCAACATACAAATATATTTGGAAGCCATGTCCTGTCCTAAATGTTAGGATGGGTAAGAAGGAAATGAAAAATAAGTTCTACATTGTCTTTACATGTCTTGGAAATTCATAATCTTATAGGAAAATATTGGGTAAGTTAATACACGTGGATAAATATAAAACATGTAACATTTTTAGTGCACTTTTACATATACATACACATGGTACAAAACTCGAAGAAACAGGTATGTGATGAAATGTCACCCGTTCTCCTCTGTGCTCAGGCAGCATTTAACCAAGTGGCAGCTGCTGTTTGTTCACTTTTTCTATTCCTATATTTTGGACATTTTCTTTTTGGCTAATGTTATTGTTTTCTAGAAGTATTACAATGTATTTTATTAAAATTTTTTTTTTCTTCATTGATTTTAAAGAGAGGAAGGGAGAGAGAGAGAGAAACATCAATGAGAGAGAACATGGATGTTTCTGCATGCCCCCCACTGGGGACTTGGCCCACAACCTGGGCATGTGTCCTGACCAGGAATCGAGCTGGCGACCTCTCGGTGCATGGGTCAGAGCTTAACCACTGAGCCACACCTGCCAGGCTAAAATGTGTTATAGATGTTGTCATGTGCCACATCATGACAGACCACATATATGATGGTGGTACATAAGATAATAATGGAGCTGAAAAATGGCTATCAACTAGGGACGTAGTCATGGTAATATCAGAGTGCAACACAGTCATCACATGTTTATGGTGACGCTCATGTAAACCTGAGTCAAATAACATACAGTATGTACAATACATAATACTTGATAATAAATGACTATGTTACTGATTTACAGATTTACTATACTATACTTTTTATCATTACTTTAGAGTGTACTAGTTCTACTTATAAAAAGTAGTTTGCGTCAAGGCCAGTGTGGCTCAGTTGGTTGGGCGTCATCTCTTACACCCAAAGGTTGCCGATCTGATTCCCATCTCAGGGCACATGTCCAGGTTGCAGGCTTGATCCCCAGTAGGGGGTCTGTGGGAGGCAGCTAAATTGATGTTCGGCTCTCACTTTGATGTCTCTCCCTCTCACTTCCTCTTTCTAAAAATCAATAAAAATATTTTAAAAAATAGTTTGCTATAAAACAGTATACCCTGTTCCATTGGCAGCAGCTTCATCTCATGTTTACCATGTCCCTTGACTGCATCATTTCCTCCTGTGCTTGATTTAATCTCATTTTATAAATTTAGTGTAGCCTAAGTGTATAATGTTTATAAAGTCTACAGAAAAATCCAAGCTACTTAAGCTAAAACGGATGTGTGCAAAAAAAAGTCATCAGTCTCATTTGAGAATATTGGTCAGCTGTACCTATTTATGAAGTCAAGTAACATAACCATTGGCTAGTCATCTCAATCAAGATGATGATGAATTCTCTGGGGAGGAGAGGGAACAGGCTGAGTGCTTGAGTGGTGATAGTGGTGGTAGAGTGGGTTGGATTGTATTTGTTCCTATCATGCACAACAAGTTTCCACAAACTCAGTGACTTAACAGTTATTATCTCAGTTTCAGTGAGTCAAGATTCTACACAGGGTCTCACAAGGCTACAATCAAGGTGTGAGCTGGGACTGCAGTGTCACCTGAGGTGTGACTGGAAAAGGATCGACTTTTGTTGGCAGTATTCAGTACCTCAGAGGTGTAAGACGAGGACTTAGCTTCTTTCTGACTGTTGACTGGAGGTTGTCCTCAGCTGCTAGAAACTGCCTTCGGTTCCTTGCATGTGACCGCCCCACACTGGCAGCCCCCACACGCGGCTGCTCACTTCAAAATCAGCATGGGAGGGAGAGATTCCAACAAGAGGGGCTCTACATTTTCTTTAACATGATTACATACATGTAATCATACATCCCATTGCCTTTACCATATTTAATGGGTCTGAAGCAAGTCACAGGTTTCACCCATACTAAAGGGGATGGGAATCACTCAAGGATGTTGTGTCAGTTTATCCAAAACAGTCCCCACAAAAACACCCTCACTCTTGACAATTGCAGTTTCAGGAGATTCCCCAACTCACTCCCAGGTTTGATAATTCACTCGAAAGACAGAACATGCTGAAACCTTTAACTCGTGGTTAGCTTATTACAGGGTAAGGATGCAGGTTAAAATTAGCAGAGGGAAAAAGGCCTATGCAGAGGTCAGGAGGTACCAAACACAGGGCTTCTATTCTTCTGTGGAGTCATGGATGCATTAATCTTTTGGCATTGATGGAAAATAATACACATGGACTCTTGCCAACCAAGGAAGCTGCCTAAGCCTTAGTACACAGTTTTTATTACATGTCAGTGGTTATTTGCCCAGATGTCTACTTTAGTTTCCAATCCCTCTAGAAGTTAAGTGGTATGACCCAAAGCACCACCACGAATCACATTATTAGATATTTCTGGTGTGTTCCTAGGTCTTAGTGCTTATATCCCAGAAGCCAACAGCAAAGACAAGAACCCCTCTTTGAATTAGGTTAAATTATTTGCTACCTATCTGGATATGAACCCCAGGAGCAGGGCATTATGGAACCACTCTAAGAGTCTGACCATCACAGGTATGAAAGAGTTTGATTTTCTTTCTTATGGTGAGAAGTTAATAGAACTATCAAACTTGAAAAACCAGTGCAATGGCATATAAGCATGTTATTTAGAATCTGCTAAAAGATGAAATGGTTGCACGTTGGTGATGAAAAATGAAGGGTAGAAGCGCTGGGAACTACTTTTTAAAAATACGCCGTGTAGTCCTGGCAGGTTTGGTTCAGCAGACCACATGGTTGGATTCCGGTCAAGAGCAGGTACCTGAATTGCAGGTTTGATCCCTGCCCCAATCGGTGTCATGCAGGAGGCAACCAATAGATGTGTCTCACATAGCTGTTTTTCTCTCTGCCCCCCCTCCTCTCTTCCACTCTACCTAAAAATCAATGGAAAAATATCATCGGGTGAGGATTAACAACAACAACAACAAAATAAGCCTTGTAGAACCATTTGCTTCTGTATACTACATGCATATATGACTTTTTGATAAAAATGAAAAAAAATTTAACCGTGTCTATTTAAAATTAATACGTAACCAAGTCATATCCTCACTTTTACGTGTAAAAAGGTCTTATTCCACTACTGAGAGAGAGAGCTTTGCTAACCTAATTTTTCTCTGGCTAATTGTAGGATTTTTGTCTTTAGTATTGTGAAATTTCATTATTACATGTATTATTGTGCATATCTTTTTATCCTGCATGAGATTCATTGTTTGATTCTGTGGATATTTTTCATTGATTTTGGAAAACTGACCCATTATCTATTCAAATATTGGCCTGGCTCTAATCTTTTTCTCTTCTCTGGGACTCTAGTTAAGTGTATGTTAGATAATTTTCTATTATCTAACCTTCATTTGCATTTTCCATCTTTGTTGTCTTTCTGTGCTGTAATTTGGATTCTGTTTTATCTTCTAGCTCACTTATTCAGTGTTCAGTTATGTCTAATCCTCTGGTAACACCTTAAAATTATTTTTTTATTATACACACATATACATATACACAAAAGTAGACAAGGTGATATATTCTATCTATCTTCTGGCTTGAACAATACTGGCTTGAAAAATACTGGCTTAAACAATACTGTCATTCTATTTTCCTGGTTTCATCTGTGGTCACTGAGTTTGAAATTTTTTATTACAGATCTTTTTCTTTTCTAGAAGTCCTATCTGATTCCCCTTCGCATCTGCTATGTCACTCTTTGTAGTTTACTATTCTAGCAGGTATTTTGAAGCCTGCATTTTGTTTATTTCATTACATAGTACTGAGTTTTATATGTCTGAAAATTCCAGAGTTTGTAGTTTGCTACTGCTCTTTGTATTGTCTTCTGGTTCTCATTTGTGATGCATGGTTTTTTTTTTTACTCGTAGTACTTAGTTTTATTTATTTATTTTTATTTTTTTTCCTTTATTGATTTTTAGAGAAGAAGTGAGAGGGAGAG